AGGTTCCTATGTCTCTCTGCTCACTTCTCTCTTTCATATCTCAAAAGAGATTGGCTTAAGACATTATGTAATCTTGTAGACCTCATCAGTATAACTGCTGCTAATCCATTTTATTACATCATAGTGGTAGAGTTTACAACACATAAGGAAATTGCATCAGATTACAAAATGGTACACAATCATACAATACTGGGAATCATGACCCAGCCAAGTTGACAGATATTTTTGAGGGACACAGTTCAATCCATGACAGTGAGCATATCACAAAGAGAAAATTTGTATTTATTTTGAAACATTCCAAGATCTTAAATATCATGAAAATTTAAAGTATTTCTCAAATCAATTTTTCATTTATTAATGATAAATGCTAGGTGACAAGATTAACTGAATTTATGGATAGCAGCATACCTGAGTAGAAAGTACATTTTGTTTGTACAAAAGCAGTAAAATGATATTAGGACCTTGAGAAATGTATTTAAAACCTCATACTTTTCACCTCCTGAGGTAAATAAATGGATGGACCTATTTCCTATTCATTTCCTATTTTCTAATTTTATAATGCTAAGAACGAAGAGATTTACTTCATTGTTTCCTGGAAATCTACTTGTGCTGAAATAGATGTGTTTAATTTTTTTTCTTTGTCTCTTTGGCTTTTGTACATATTTATATATTCTTTGTATTTGGCCATGGAGATCTTTCTTTTCTATATCTGCTTCCATGGATATATTTAGAAATAAAACAGAATACCAATTTCAATATGCAATTTTGAGTATCCAGAATACATTGCTATCGCCAGGTGGATGAATTATTGACTTTGTAGAGATAATATATTGAAACTATGGAGAAAATCTTCTCTTGCTATCTTGAGAATTTGTGTGTGTGTGGCCTTTGAGGTTGCTGCAAACAATCGTAGTCTGACAATGAAGAAGGCACATTTATTAACAATATAAATGTAATCAGATGAAAATAATTTTTAATCATGAATTCAATTTCTCATAATGGGCAGGCTGTGGTAATCACTTTAATTTTGAGAGAATAAAGCCAAGTAAGGAAGGCTGTAACTGAAGAAATCCCAGGAGAGTTTTGTATGTTGGATACTATCTAAAGAAAATCAATGTTACATTAAGCGGTGGTAAATCTTTCATGCTACGGGAAAGCACTTTTCCTGTCCATTTAATTAATAGTAAATTCAATAAAATGGTAAATCTCTGGAGAGTTGGTCCACTTAAGAAGATAAGGTGAACGTTCTGACTTAGATTTTTTTTTTTTGTATCCCACTTGCTTCTAAGTGATACATTTAAACACTATGTGATTAATCTATATCAATACCTTTAATTATTATTATCTTAATTTAAATAAAAATGGTTCTGTATTTGTGTGACTCTTGGCATTATGGTCTTGGGCCATTATGGCCATCACTTTGTTCTGACTCAGTATCAGTGGTGCGGCTAACATCACACCACACCAGTTACCTTGGAATCTGTTCGGATTCATGTCAACCCTGTGTGTGTCAGAGTAGAACTGTGCTCCACAGGGTTTTCGATGGCTGATGTTTCAGAAGTAGATCATCAGGCCTTGCTTCCCAGGTGCCTCTGGGTGGACTTGAGCCGTCAATCTTTTGTTTACTGCTGAGTGCTTAACCATTTGCATCAACCAGGGCTTACATAAATGATAACATAAATGATGCCAATTGTTTCTGCTTTATGCCATACATCAGGCTTCCTGTAGAAATGTGCTAATAATAATTTTAAAAATATGATACAACATGAAATAGATGAGTATGAAAGTGACGTAGACATATATGGAGCCCTGGTGGCACAGTAGTTAAGCGTTTGGCTGCTAACCAAAAGGTCAGCTACTCAAATCACCAGAAGCTCTTTGGAAACCCAATGGGGCAGTTCTGCTCTGACCTATAGGGTCGCTATGAGTCGGAATTGACAGCAATGGGTTTGGTTTTTGGTTTTATATATATATATATGTATATACGTATGTAAAGTTATCATTTGATTCAAATTTCCCTTTTGTTATTGAGCCACAGCACAGAGGCTGGGCCTGACTATATTAGGAAATTTCCTAAATGAAGCAACAAGCTCTGGCTTTGTGGGAAATGGAGACAAAAAAATCTCTTTTAGTGACTTTCTCTCATGAGAATTTTCTCAGCATCAGTAGAAGTGTAAGAAATCTTGGAGAGAGATGAAGAGCAGTCCTGAGATCTTGCCTTCTCAGAGAAGAATTCTCATGAGAAGGACTTGTCACAGGAAGAACCCCTCATTGTACTCAACCACATGCAGTAATTTTAGGAATCAAGGGCTTGTAGGTTAAATAAACTAATACCTAATGGTGTCTGGCATATTGAATTACTTTTATATGTTAATAGCTTCTAGTGGCAATCAAGATGAATTGATACTTTTGTTAAGAACCAATCTGACTCAATTATTATAACAGGTGAAATTTTCAAGAAGAAAACACAAAGCATTATACATGAAGACAATAGAAAAAGAAACTAGATTTACGCAGTTGAGGAGACCATTGAAACATTGATCTGGATCAGAATGTCAACCTTAGTGGCCTAGCTCAGAACTCGTCTTCACTTTGATATCTTTTTTTATGCATCATTTCAGTTTGAGTTCCTGGCTCCCTCCTTTGTTTATCAGAAGCCACTTTGCACATCTGTTTGTGATATAGACCCTGAGCTGCTTAAAGCCAGGGTCTGTGTCATGCAGATATGTCCCCAACCCTCTACCCTTGCCCCTAACCTGCACCACATACAGTGCCTGATATAAAATGAGCATGTAATAACTTGCATGAATGAGTGGTGGAATGAATGGATGAAAGGAAGGGATAGAAAATTAGTGCCACAGGTGCCCTGGTAAAATACTGCTCAGATCTGGGCATCTGTGACATCACCTCATATTCTCTCCAGTTCCTTCCTGATATCTTACTTGGTATTTCGCTTTCCTGAAACTGACAAACTTTCAAGACATTTGGGGCTAAAGCTATAGTTCACTTGGACATATCTCCAGCACTTTCTTTGAGATGCATTCTTTTATACCCGGAGCATTCTGAAACTGTTTTGTTTTTTTCTTTAACAGCAATCACCAGTTACTGATAGATTACTGTTTGCTTGGTGTGTTAGCTTCCTCTTACTTCCATAACATGAAAAAACACATTGCCATTGAGTTGTTTCCGACTCATGGAGACCCTATAGGACAGAGTAGAAATGCTCCACAGGGTTTCCAAGGAGTAACTGGTAGATTTGAACTACCAACCTTTTGGTTAGCAGCTCAATGCTTAACCACTGCACCACCGGGGCTCCTCCATAACATAGTATCACAAATTTAGTGGTTGAAACAACACAAATTTATTATGTTGCAGTTTTGTAGATGGGAAGTCCATCACAGGACTCACGGGCTATAATCAAGGGCCTGGCAGGGCTTTGTTCTTTTGTGTAGACTCTAGAGGGTAATCTGTTTTCTTGCTCATCAAGTGTTGGCAGAGTTCAGTTCCGTGTGATTTTAGGACTGAGGTTCAGGTTTCCATATTGGATACCACCTGGGGGTTGTGGTTAGCTGCTAGCAGTCTCTCTCCAGCCCTTACACATAATCTCCTACATCTCAGAACCAACAGAAGGACATTGTATCCATGTCATGCTGTCATCTTGCTGACCTTTTGTCGCTGCACCTCTCTCATTGCAGCCGGGAAAGGGTCTCAGCTTTTAAGGACTCAAGGACTCCTGCGATTAGATTAGGCCCACCCGGCCAATCCAGAGTCTTCCCCCTACCACCCAAAATCTGTAACTCCAATCCCATTTGCAAAATCCCTTTTGCCATGTGAGGTGATACATTCACAGATTCTAGGGATTTGAGTGTGAGCATCCTTGGCGAGCCATTATTCTCCCCGCCACACCTGGCACATGCTGAATGCTTTGTGTGCATCATGAACATTATCTCCATCTTCTCAGAAGAAAGCAAGGTTTGGAAAAGTTGGGTAAACTGGTTACATTACTAGGAAAGGACAGCGTCATGATTTAAACTCCATTCTATTTGACTCTGAAGCCACCTTGCTCTTAAATCCTACACCATGCTGTGCTGTGTACGTATTCCATTATATACGTATAACTCGCACGCGTGTGCACACACACACACACACACACTCTTAAATGTTATTTGAAAGATCATGTTAGACTAAATAAAAAGTACGGTTTGCACCATTACTTCTGGTGATTCTTATACAAATCAGTCTTGTAGTTTGAGGAGTAATACAAGATGCCGAAGAGAATTTGGCCTGTTCTAAATTTAAGTCGAGGCCGTGAGGACTGAAAATATTTATTGGTGAGTTTATTTTAACAACAGTAAAAGAATCTAAAATCTTAGATTTCAAAGGTAACCATGGAGCTGTACCTTGACTGAAGACAGTTAATGAACATGACGAAATTACAAGACTTATTTCAAAAAAATTTTTTTTTAATTTCTAAAAATATTATTTCGTGAAAGCAGTTCAAACACTTTTCATATGCTTATAACTCTGATGTAGTTTTTAAAGTTAATAATTTTGAGATTATAGTGTAAACAGAATTGTAATTAATGGTGATTATTTTGGTCATTTCATGTTGCTTATTATAACATGCATATATAGCTGCCCCAAACTTCTATAAATAGCCATATATTTAGCCCTTACCTATGAAAAACCTTGTTTCTTTTTTTCTGCTTTAGGCATTCTTTTTGCATCATGCTTATTTATTTATCCTATTTTAAGATGTATTACCTATTAGTAGCCACACTTGTTTTTCTTAATTATACTATTTTAATTTTGATTTCTCTATGATTCTTGCCTTACAGATATCTCAGTAAAGCAAGCAAAGGGTGTGTGCTATGTGAATGTTTACTCGGCCAGTCTGTCAGAAAAGCCCAGTTTGAGTCTCGTTTCCGTGTCCTGCTTTCCGGAGTCAGCGGCCATTGTGGAAGCATAGTTTATTCATCACTGTTTCCTTGTCATTGCAGAACCTTGATGCCCTGCATGACCACCTTGCTACTATCTACCCGGGCATGCGCGCACCTTCCTTCAGGTGCACGGACGCAGACAAGGGCCGAGGACTCATTCTGCATTACTACTCAGAGAGAGAAGGACTTCAGGATATTGTCATTGGGATCATTAAAACCGTGGCTCAGCAGATACATGGCACTGAAATAGACATGAAGGTAATGATGGCGCCGGAGACTCTCCTGGGCATTGAACACGGTACTCTGTTCATTTGTCTTCAGCTGTCTCTGCTAGTGAACTTCACCAGGGGTACATGTAAGCCATGAAAGTAGAGATACCAGAAATCTTCTAGATTTGGCCTTGGAGTGCATTATACAGGCTTTGTGTTTGTCCTTGCGGCAGATTTTTCCTCCTAGTTATACCTTGCTGAAGGCAACAGAAAATTGAGTTTGTATTCTCTATGCGCTCACACCAGTTGGGAAACAAGAGGGTATGTGACCAGCTGAGCTATTGGCTTCTGAGTAGAAAAAACCCATAACATATACAGTCAAAATCTAAGACAATCGAAAACGCTGTTTTAGAGATCATTGTTGCTTTGTGAAGTTTTTTTGGTCTATCCCTGAAAACAGACGGTCTCATTTTGTGAACTAAGTTTTGCCTTTTTTTTTTTTTTTCCCAGTGAAGTGACTTTGGTGAAAGGAACCAGCTTTAGTACTTTAAAAATTGTGTTACTATTGTTAATAATACAAGAGTCCCTGGGTGGCACAAATGGTTAAAACACTAAGTACAAACCTCCCCAGAGACGTCTCAGAAGAAAGGCCTGGCGTTCTGCTTTCAAAGGTCACAGCCTTGAAAACCCTATGGAATGCAGTTCTCCTCTGCACACATGGGTTCTCCATGAATCAGAATCAACTCGATGGCAACTAACAGCGACAACAACATTGATAATACACACAGTCCTGGTGGCACAGTGGTTGTGAGTTTGGTTGCTAACCAAAAGGTTGGCAGTTCGAATCCACCAGCCAGTTCCTTGCAAACCCTGTGGGGCAGTTCTGGGTTGCTATGAGTCGGATTGACTGGAAGGCAGTGGGTTTGTTTATTTTCTCTCTCTCTATATATATATACACACCTTCGGGTAGAATGATAATTACAAAGTATTGATACAGCAACTGTGCAACAAAGAGAACCACTGTTTTTCCATATTTCTACAGTCAGCTGCTTTTTATGTGCTCAGCATGTGTTTTTATGTGCCCCAACAGCAATTTTGTAGTGGCCCTAAGGTTGAGCCAAGTGGGAAGGGGGCGATCCCATTTCGGCTTTCTGTCCTTAGGGAAAGTCCAATAGCAGTACTTTCTTGGATACCATAGGTATGTTCTAGCCTGTGTGTGAAGTCCAAAACTCTTAAGATAGAGTATAATACAAAATAAACATCATATCACTTAAATTTGTTGTATTAGAAAATAATTCCATATAATTATCTAGTCAAGTCGCAGATTTCATGGTTGTTTTTCCTTCAGGAATCCGTGTCATTGTCCTTATTTGGCCCTTGGTGACTCCCAGGTGTGTCATTAGTTCTTCTACAACTGGAAAGCAAGACGATGTGTAACATAATGCTAAAAATCCTAAAATTAGAACATTGGATAAAGAAGCGAAATTCATCCGTGACTGGGAATCTCAGTGGAATTCAATCAAAATATTAAATGCCTCTCATATTCAATCTTTGGATCATGACAGCAAACTAACATTTCATGTATGCTGAGTGAGCCCGTATCAGGGCATTTATGCATACTGTGTATATTATTGCTTTTGCTTTTTAGTTTAGTCAAGCTGAGGAAGAATCAGGAACATAGAAACTTCAGAAAAGAAACGCAGTATGGACCTACTTGGCAACTGCAATTGCTGGTTAGAGTTATTAGAGTCTTAGGCATGGGACGTGGATGGCGTTAGCAGACTGTATATAGAACTCAAGTTGTTAACTGTGTGCTTCACTTTAGTTGATTTAGGTTCTCCTATGGCTTTTATTGATTCATGTGCCCCAGTACAGACTTCTGAAATATTTGCGTTTTTAATTGTAGTTGCATTAATTTTTTCAAAGGTACCATTTTAACTTCCTGAAGTATCCTTATGTCAAATGCATTAAGTGTAACAAATTGAGAGCTACCAGATGGTATGAACCACGTAAGAAATATTAGCCTATGTCATGAAGTGGAACACCAATGAAGAATTAAAAACAAGATCAGAAAAGCAGTTTGTTTGGCCAGTTTGATCAAAGCCAAAGAGCAGAATTGAGGAATTAATTAGTAAAATTGGGGGTGCGTGTAATTAATTCTTTTAGTCAAAAGGGAAACATAACAGAGCATCACTATGTGGCCCAAATATTATGGTTGACTCTGTTTGTTTTTTCTAGGAGACTTTAGAGGACTCAACCTTTCTATAGCAAAATTTTAAAATTATGTAATAAGTATAACATTACAACATAATTACGTGTTGTAATGATACCCTCATTTTGCCGTGAGACAATATGTTTTTGGATACACAGTCACATCCAAGGTGGTTTATTCTGATTTTGTTCTTTAAGCCTCAGAGTGTGAGCCAGTGAACCGAGCAAAAAAGTGAAAATGTGTAACATTTTGTCTTCATGTAGCTTCAGCTGAAGAAATAGCCCCCATTTGCATCTGGCTGCAGCTAAAACAGAGTTTTTCCTTTTGTAAGAGGGCATATTGCTTGTAATTTCTTAAATCCAAAAGAAAAAATCTTTCCTTTGCCTTAATAAAGTATTTGCCATTGAATAATATATTTGAAATGTGGTTATTTCCTTAAATTATAGAGCTCTGCTGACAAGTATGATTACTTTCTTAGAATGAGTTCCTAGGTTTGAGATTAAGTCAAAGACTATTTTTCCAGAGGATTTTGATACATATTACCAAATTATCCTTCAGAAATAGTAATCAAAGCACCCTCCCGTTAGTGGTGGTGGAGATGCCTCTTCTTCTGTACCTTACCCAATTTGGTATTGTAATTTTATATACTTGCCAATTGATGGATAAAAAATAATATTGCATTTTTTAAAAATACGCACCTCTTTCATTCTCCACCATTTTTAAGTATCATTTTAATCTTATTAGATGGGACGACCACATATGGCCCTGTCGGTTGTTCACGTGCTGAGGTGGCTGGGCCCACCAAGGCAAAGGGGTGCTTTTTCCTAATTCTGCCAACAGGCCCATATGAACTAGTGGCCACCTGATACCAGATTTGCAATTCAGTCTTCAGATTTCACAAATCAATGTCCAGAAATATTTTTCCATTTTAGACATGTATAGTATAGTATATATGTATAGTATTTGCATATATGTTAAACTGCAGTAATTAAACCCCTAAAGACAACTCTCATCTCTAGATTCTAAGGTACTTTCAATATTTTAACTAAATGGAAATGCCAACAGCTAATACCATTTCCCTCTTTCGACATCTAGGTTATTCAACAAAGAAATGAAGAGTGTGATCATACTCAATTTTTAATTGAAGAAAAAGAGTCAAAAGAAGAGGATTTTTATGAAGATCTTGACAGATTTGAAGAAAATGGTACCCAGGAGTCACGCATCAGCCCGTATACCTTCTGCAAAGCTTTTCCTTTTCACATAATATTTGACCGGGACCTAGTGGTCACCCAGTGTGGCAATGCCATATACAGAGTGCTTCCCCAGGTAAAATGACATCACACTTTCATGGAGCCTGAGACAAAGGGCCACAAAGACACAGACACTATTGTTACACATGACCCTTCATTCAACCCTTTTGACTATGTATTGTATAACATGCAGTGCATCGTATGTCACATAAATTGTTTAACCATGAGCTAAGCATATTTGAGCATGCTGCAATTTTCCCTAGGACAGCTATTTATTTATTTTTTAAAAACAAAAAACCACTAAAGAGGAAAAATACAGAAACTATCTTGGGGTTTAGTAGAAAAGGCATCAGAAGACAACAGTTCGGTAATTACGAAAACCAACATTTCACTTATATTACTTAGACCCATTTGTAAAATCCTTTCTTTTTACTTACTCTTTTATTCTATCTGCTAACTTTTAGAGTTGCGGTGCCATGTGCACAGAGGTACTTTTGCTTGTTAATAGACAGATTTTATAATTCAGGGGTAACCCAGATGGGATCGGGGTGAACCTATAAGTTTGGAAGCGGAATAGTGTGCTGCCTGGGCTCCTTGCTGCTGCGGCTCCCTCACCGTGCGTCACTTCACCTCCATTTGCCCATTTCCCTTTGTTGTGACATGTGGCTAGACAGGACATGAGGAGCGCTTAGTCCAGTGCCCAGTCCATTGTAAACACTCAGTATTCCCTATCATTAGAAGTGAGGATGGTGAGATTTTGACACGCTTACTTTGGACAAGTCGTCAGGAAAGACTAATCACTAGAAAATGACGTCATGTCTGGTAGAGAGAGCCAGTGACAACAGGGGAAACCCTCCCTGAGGTGGACTGACACAGTGGCTGCAACAGTGGACCCAAACATAGCAACAATTGTGAGAATGGCACAGGGCTGGACGAGGTTTCATTCTGTTACACGTAAGGTGATCATGAGTCGGAGCCAACTTGAGGACAGCTAGCAACAACAACAGTATTATTGTTATTATCCCTTTCTTGATAAAATTTGGGAGAGGATTTGCTGATGTTTTTGGTATTTAAACTTCATTTTGAACTTTAGGCACTTAACACTACATACCACCTTTTGAAAGATAAATTTTTGTTCTTTATTCTTCTGAAAATGCTTTTTTAAATTTGCATTAGCTTATATTTGACATCAGTCATTTGAATCCATATTAAGTTCCATGTTCATGCAACTAGTTATGCCCATTTAACCACCGAGTTGCACAGGTCTAGATTTGAGCCCTTAGTTAAGTTTCCTACCAAATAGTTATAATTTTCTTTTTTAAAATGTAATTGAATTGGTTTAATCTAGTGACATATCAAATCATAAGTATTATTTTAACTAATGACGTGCCTTTTTCTTTTTATGTACATTTTAGCTTCAGCCTGGAAATTGCAACCTTTTGTCTGTCTTCTCTCTGGTTCGTCCTCATATTGACATTAGTTTCCATGGGATCCTCTCACACATCAATACGGTTTTTGTATTGAGAAGCAAGGTAATCATTATGTTATTTAATTAAATCTAAGTATGTGAGGCATATTACAAATTAGAAGTGATCAGGAGGGAAATTTAGCTACTAGCACATCCTATGAGATGGAAAAGCTATAGAGAGAGAAAAACCAAACCTCAAAGGGAGGCCTATTTAAAAGGCAACGGTACTGATTTTTGGTTTGCATGAGGAGCAGTGGAACTGCATCAGCTGAACAGAATGAACAAAAGTAGGTTTTAGAGAATGTCTTACTCTGACAGCCCACTTTCATGTAACAAAAACACCATCTTTTACTTCTTGTACAGCTACAATGCCTAATTTTTGAAAATAGAAGAATTTATGAAGCTATTTTTTAAAACTTCTCACAAAGCCACTGATTTATTCTTCCTTAAATTGTCTGTTGTGCTTGGTGCCTTTTTCATGGGAAAATAAAAGTGATAAAGTATTCATTCTATTGCTAATTTAGATAGTGCGCAGGTCTCATAGTTTCTGTACGTGTGACAGATGGAGCAGGCGTCATTTTGCTAGAGTGCACAGCTCATCCTTCTTACCCCACTTCCGAAGGTCTTGTCTACACGTACTTCATGTGTATGGAGCTGAATACTTTCAGCTACACTAGGAATGCAGGGCTGGGAGACGGGGAGGCTTGATGTAGCCACACTGGAAAATCACGAAAAGGATTCACAGAGGTGTTATGTAACTATGTGAACAGGAGCACAGCTACTGTCTTTCTGGATTCGAAAGTGATAGTCAATTCACTTTTCTGCCATGTTTGTAAGATAGTCACTATGCCTGCTACTGGCAGAACTCTGGGGAAATGTCCTCTCCTGTTCTGATTGCTGCACTTACTCTCCCTATTGGTTTGATGGGAAATGAGGTATGTGTGTCCTTCTTTTTGCTGAGTTGTTAGGTAGGGGAAGGCACTAGTTAATGGTTATGCCTTGCCTTTTCAAGGAAGGATTGTTGGATGTAGAGAAATTAGAATGTGAAGATGAATTGACCGGGACTGAGATCAGCTGCCTACGTCTCAAGGGTCAAATGATCTACTTACCAGAAGCAGATAGTATACTTTTCCTGTGCTCACCAAGGTAATAACTTCTAGATTAATTAGAATTGATTATAATTAGCCATCTTTGGCTAACAAAGGAATTCAATAAAATTTTATTCAATTACATAAACATATTCTGAAATGTAATTATATTTTACAACCTTTGTTATACACCTCTCTATAACAAGAATAATCTCATTCAATACATGTCAATAAGCTTAGAAGGAATCTATTATATTCTACTTGCCATGCCTTAATCAATTTTCTGAGTATTTAGGCCGTTAGATCATGAGATATCTAATCTGTGGTTGCCTAATTCTGTAGTTTTGTACCTTCAAAAGAGGCATCATGTAGAATAAGAAAGCAATTCTATGAAATATCTAATATGATGGCATATATACATGGATGCCTTTGGTAGCAAGAAATGATCTTTTCCATAGTATGTCAGTAAAAAACGTAAAAGGACTCAAATTATTTCTGGATTTGAACTATGTCATGTTAAAAATATTTAACTACTTTAATCAGGATACACTATTCAAAATATATTATGAAATTGAAACATATAGAAAATATTTGTAAGAAACATCAGTGAAAAAAAATTTAGATTTTTTTTTCCCACTTAGAGGAAGGATTCTATCAAATTATGCATGGGAAAACACAATAACAAAAATATATCTACATTTACTTTATTATAATAAAGCATTAGAAAAATATATATGTTTCTAATTTTTTAGAAAATATATAATTATTAGAATTTTAGAAAAAGGTAATTGTGTAACTTATTATAGGTGATACTTTGTGTATTTATAACTTTGTATTACCAAAATGTATGCACATTATTTTGTAACCACTCAAGAAAGCATGTTATCTTGGGCTATTGGTTAAAAATTTAATTTAAAATTCACCATGATTACTTTTCATGTAAAAATACTGTCTTAAAATTTCTGAAAATAATCTAATAATCTTTGTAACAACCTCTCTTAATATTCTTTGTTGTTGTTGTTGTTAGGTGCTGTCGGTTCCAACTCATAGCGACCCTATAGGACAGAGTCAAACTGCCCTATAAGGTTTCCAAGGAGTGGCTGGTGGATTCCAACTGCTGACCTTTTGGTTAGCAGCTAAGTTCTTAACCACTGTGCCACCAGGGCTCCTTTAGTATTATTAATGTAGTTTTAAGACTACATAAGAGTAATGATTCTTTTTTTCCCTGAGAAATATATATTATAAAAATAAGAGATAAAATTAGGGAAAATAAACAATTTATATATTTTTTGTTAATAGTCTACATTGATTTAAATGTATCTTAATCTTCTATCAATAAGTGTTTTCTTCTTCTGCCTCTTCCCAGGTTGACTTTCAGTAGGATGACAGCTTCTTAGTAGACAAAATCTCGGTTTTTGGAGAGAAAGATTTCTTTGGAAACAGGAGCAAAAAAAACATTGTAGTGTGTTTTTTTAGTGCCATGTGCAGAAATCAGTCACATGGCACAACGCATTCAGATGGGCTTCTGGGATGTCCTCTTGTGTAGACAGATCTGTGCCCACATTGAATAAAGAAGGCAAGAGGGCAATTAAAAACATTTTTACTTATAAAATAAATTATTCCAAAATGATTTTGATAAATGTAAAAAACTGTCTTAACAGTGCGTTAAAAATAATAAATTAATTTGTTTAGAACAATGAGACTTCTGTAATTTAACTAACTTTTCTAACTCAATATGAACATTTTTTACCATTCATTTTCATTTTAAACATCATATATTTTTTTCCTCTGTTGTAAGTAGGTCTTATGCCATTTAGCAGATGATGTGGCCTCTTTACACATGGGTTGATTTCTGCAAGTGGGATTTAACATACGTATCCGTTTTAACAAAATCAATCGAAAGAGTCCATGTACTTCATTAGTAAACTGATTATTTTCTATATTACCATGCTAATTTTTGCTTTTATTTATGGACAATTCTGTTGATAATATATTGCAGGAGATCTTTTATTTATCCAAGATTCTTCAGTGAAGTAATACTTCAGTTATTTAATTTTGGAGAAATTATTATTGTGAATGACCAGAAGTAATTACTTTGCATTTAAAGAATTCAAATCAATAATATAACCTCAATAAAAAATGAAAAGCAAACAAACAAAAAAGTATTTTTTACTTATAAGATCTTCACTGAATTCATAAGTATTATTATGTTGTTCTTGAAATGACCTTAGTTACAAAGATGCATAAAATTCAGCAAGCACAAATAATGTTTTAAATAAATGAGAAAAATTAATCAAAGAAAATAAGAGTAGTAGAAAAAATTAGACGTATGAGTAACACATAAAATAAGCATCAAAACGTCTTATATACATAAAATACATGTGGAAGACGGATCATAAATCTGGCTGTAAACTTTTAATCATCACATCTTAAAGGGAAAAGCAATTATTTACAAGATTTATAGACTCCATAAATCAAAAATGAACTAGTTTCTCAAAAGAAACATCATTATCCTAGATAAAAATTTTTCTTCAAAAGAAGCCAGGAAAACATATGTGATAATAAATAACAGCCTTGTATTAAACCTCTGAGTAAGTTTTACAGGGCAATTTTCTACATTATCTTCCAATTTAGAGTAATGGCACCATAAACGTGCAGTCTGGCAAAGATACATTTCAAGTTCTCTACATTGTGATAGATTTTAAATATCTAAAAGAATAAAGTCATATTCTTCACACAATTCTCCATAATTTTTTTTTTTTTTTCAGACTGAGCTTTTGAACGGTAGGAGGTGGCAGGATTATACTCCCTGACAGTAAGTAATAAGGCTCAGTACTGCCATGTTGGTCAAGTTGGGGCTAATTTTGTCACTTTTTCCTGTGTAACAGTGTGATGAACCTGGACGATTTAACGAGGAGAGGTCTGTATTTGAGTGACATCCCTCTGCATGATGCCACCCGCGATCTCGTCCTTTTGGGAGAACAGTTCCGAGAAGAATACAAACTGACCCAGGAACTGGAAATCCTCACGGACAGGCTGCAGCTCACGCTAAGAGCCCTGGAAGATGAAAAGAAAAAGACAGACACGTAAGAATTTAACCTGTGTGGTTAAAGAAGGGCACAACTGCTATTCTTGCTATACTGTAACTCTCCTATAGTTAAGTAGGAAGAAAGGCCTGGCAATCTCCTTCTGAAACTCAGCTAGTGAAAACCTTACGGATCACAAGGGTCTGATCCCCTAGCATTTTGTTCCCTTGTGCATGGGGTTGCTAAGAGCTGGGGACCGACTCAATGGCAACGAACAAGAACAACAGTTATAGTTAAGGTTGATAATGAGACCAAAAAAGCACAGGACCCACAGCTCTGGAGTCATAGATCAAATCTTCCACATCTCTTTTAATAGGAAAATTATGCATACAGAATTCAATCAGTCTGAATGGTAGTAAGAATATGTTTTCTATTTTTAGAAGCCAAGTCGAAAGAAAATATTCCAAAACATTTCTCTGAAAAATCATCAGAATGAATTAGATGCAGATATTAAAGTTCATTTATTCACTCATTGATTCATTCTTCTGTGTGCCGGGGCTGGCCAGGTGCTGAGGGTTAGACTGAACACTGAACTTAGAACTGACCTTTGTATTTAAAATAGTTCTTTACTTAGACTATGAATTATTTTAGATCTTAGCAGATATGAATCTGACAGATAACACATTGATAAAAATATCAAAATATTATTTTTCTATGAATGATTGATTAAATTATAAAATAGCAGGCAAATAACATTAAAGATAATATTCCATTTCCAAGTAATGTATTTGAACAAGTATTTATTTAAAATACACATCATGCAAACAGGTTAGCCTTGCTTCCAAATGTTAATTAAACCCACTAAATCACCGTAGTTCATAAGAAATTTTTCCTTGGTTCTTGTATATTCATTTTAATATTTTATAATAAGAAACTATCTTGTTGGAGAATTGAACTGATCTACTTACTCTACTTAAACACCCAGAAAATTAGAGTCTCACCCACTGTACTTCTCTTGCATCAATACATGTGTTGGTAGCCCTGGTGCACACACACAGGTACGCTTTATTAACTATTTATTAATAACATGGGTGAATTAGAGAATGTCATTGTAAGGACCTGTCTTCATCCACAGCATCTTAATTCACTTTTCAACCTTTGTATAACGAAGCTGAGAGCAGCGCTTAGGTTCCTTAGAGACCACCGTACTTCACTCATTGTCCTGAAGTACACCCATTCATTTATCCCGGTGTGCTGCAAATTTCAGAAATTTTATGGAGCATGTAGCTCATAACCCTCCCACTATTGAAAAGCAATTTAAAGTGTGCACTTTATTCTCCTGTGGCACAGCTGCATCCATGAAAAATAGCACATTTTATGGAACTTGTACCCTAGTACTTAGTACTGAGGCTCACAGTCAGGGGTTTGTAAGTTTGAATTACTCGGTGTCCTGCTCTGGCTGTTATATTAGAGAACTGTTTGTGTTATTTTTTGTATTGTGGCTCAGAGTTTGCTAGTAGCTACATTTTTTGGCCAACAGATGCTGATACCATAAACAATGCAGGCTTTAACTTGTGAAAATATCCATGTAGTCTCTGTTGAACTAACTCTCAGTTCACTTTTTATCCTAAATCGTCAGCTTAAGCAGGATCCTTAGTTGTCTCAATGGACCTGAATTCCAAAATCGGATGGTATTGGGAATGGAGCAGGGCTTGTCTTCCATATGAGAAGAGTCTTGGGTGGTGCAAACAGTTAAGCACTGGACTACTAGTCAAAAGGTTGATGGTTTGAACCCATCCAGAGGTGTCTTGGAAAACAGTCCTGGTGATCTGCTTCCAAAAGGTCACAGCCTTTGAAAACCTTATGGTGCACAGTTCTGTCCTGACACACGCGAGGTTACTGTGAGTCAGAACTGACAGAACGGCCACTAGGAACAACAACAACGGCTGATAAATACTGTCACAGGACTCTTGCTTTTTGTTCCCCAAGTTGGGTTTGACTTTCGGAAACTATCTAGTTTCTGTACTACTTAGAGTTATTGTACTTCAAAAAGGCTTATTCTGTTTTTTAAAATGTTAGATTTAGAACAGATTTTTTTGTAGATATTTGATTTTCCAGGTAATTTAATCATGAAACATTTACTACGGATTTTCTAAGTAGTTGCAATATTTACATTCTGTATTCAAAATATAGCTTTAAAATATTTTATAAAGTGTTTTCTGTTAAAAGTTACAAATGAAGGACTGGAGAAATTCCACTGTGGCTAGGAAAATCATGGGACCTCAGCTCCATCTCACATGTTTACACTTAGCATGACAGGCCTTTGACTTTAGGGAGGAGAAAGGCAAGGAGGGGCGTTCGTCCCTCTGAGTCTTCTTGTCAAGAGCCTGTAGGTCTCCCTCAGTTTGGTTTCTTTCCCTCTCACCTGTGCTCTTCTGTTGTGCTTACTTCGCTGTCCCCTCAGCATGATGCCTGATGCTGTCATGTCATTGTTCATTGCCATCAGTGGATTCTGACTCATGGCGACCCCATGTGTGCAGTGTAGAACTGCTCCATAGTTTTTCAAGGCTGTCTTCTGAGGTGCCTCTGGGTGGGTTTGAACCTCAAACCTTTCCCTTAACCCTGTGTGCCACTCAGGGAGTCCTGATGCCGTCCTAGTAGACTCAATATTGCCTACAGAAAGAAAATACTTTCTCGTAGAGACCAATGTCCACCTACTTTATCAGTTTTTTCCACGTAGACGTGAGCCATAAATGAGACTAGAGAGAAATCCTGCTTCTTATAATATTAATAAAAATTGAGATACATTTCTTATTCCTGAGAGGTGTGAATTGTTCCAAGTACTGTGCTATTCCTACAGTATTTCAAGTGCTGGCAGTGACATACTGGTGTGATGATCTGGTAAATATAACCCTGAAGTCCAAATGAAAACTCTCTGTTTGGCCAGTCCTTTGTTTTGACTTATTTTGATTTGATTTAGTTTGGTTTGGGTTTGGGGATGTTTTATGTTATTAGAATGAACGGATAATTTACATTTTCTATATGTCTCTTTATTTATCAATATAGCTTATAATTTATACTAATTGTAGAGGGTATCCTATCAGAATCCAGGTTTTACAGTGCAAATGACATTGACGCTCTATGAGAAGGGGCGTAGAAACACCAGAAATATTCCCAGCGTTTCTAACAGGCTTCCTTCTGATCCCACTGAACAGGTTGCTGTATTCGGTCCTTCCTCCGTCTGTTGCCAATGAACTGAGACATAAGCGCCCAGTGCCTGCCAGAAGATACGACAACGTGACCATCCTCTTCAGCGGGATTGTGGGCTTCAACACGTTCTGTAGCAAGCATGCGTCTGGTGAAGGGGCCATGAAGATTGTCAACCTTCTCAATGACCTCTACACCAGATTTGACACACTGACCGATTCACGGAAAAATCCATTTGTCTATAAGGCAAGTCCTCATCATAGTCTGTTGTTACAGTTGTCGTGGCTGTTAGCTGCTGTCTCAGTGGCCCCCAACTCATGGCAACCCGATGCATGACGAAATGACACACTGCCTGGTCCCATGCCATCCCCACGATCAGTCGCTGATCGGACCTTTGTGACCCATCGGGTTTTCATTGACTGATTTTTGGAAGCAGATCACTGGGCCTTTCTTCCTAGTCCGTCTTAGTCTGGAAGCTCTGCTGAAATCTGTTCAGCAACCTAGCAATTTACAAGCCTCCGCTGACAGACGGGTGGTAGCTGAACATGAGGTGCATTGGCCAGGAACCAAACCCAGGTCTCCCACATGCAAGGAGTGAACCCCACCACTGAGCCAGCACTGCCCCCATCAGAGCCCAGTGCAGTGCTTTCAGAATCTGGGTTTTCAGACCTACCCTCCAGAGGCGGCTGCAGCCTTAGGAAAGCCTCCGTTTATTCAGTATTTACCATTTTTTTAAATATTACCTCTTGTCGTAAAACTTTGTCTTCTTTGTAACCAGAATGAATGTTTCATGGAGCAGATGATTCTTGGTAAAAAATGAAATGCTCAGCAGCTTATTTGCACTTAGAATAACAAATCCGTGCGGGTTGTTTATCAGATTTCGTATAAATACAGCATTTGGTTTAGAGCTCTGCAAGAGACATTTTTACTCACGTACATAAAGCACAGTAAAAAAGTCACGGAGCATGAGCAGGGTCCTGGGGCTCGGATTTGCCGTCAGATAGCATCAACTTGAAGATAAACATTTATAAGGCATTTCTGCCCTTTTTTCATTAGAAACAAATATATTATTTGAAGTCAGTGAAATATTGCTTCATAAAGGCAAGAATGTGAGCTAAACCATCCCTAGGCATCTGGGGTAATGTAAGCTCTACAAGGACTATCTATTTGAGTCTTTTTCTGAGGTGCAGTGTATCTCTTGGTGAACACATCATAAAAGTAAATGATTAATGACCGTTATACATCACTGAACTTCAGACAGTGGTTCTTGTGCTGTCAAACCATCACTGTTTAAGGGGAGGAAATGGTAATAAACCATTCTCCTGGATTATAAAAGGAACTTGGATGGCGCCATGGCTAAGCACTTGACTGCTAACTGAATCGTTGGCTCCTCGGGAGGAAGGACCTGTGGATCTGCTCCTGTAGAGATTACAGCCTAGGAAACCCTATGGGACAGTTCTACTCTTTCATATAGGGTCGCTATGAGTCGGAATCGACTCAGTGACACACAACACCACTAATGCTTACCGGAAGACAAATAATGCCCCATCTTCACCTGCCTGTCGTCGAAGATCCCAGGTGCTGTGTGTGTAAATTTCAAATAATTACAAAGTTTCATCGTATTGGAGTTGAATGTATTATGATTTTAAAAGAATTAAGAGGGAGCAAAGTTTAAAGTTGTTGGTAGCCTTGGGAAAATAGTTTTGGTATAAGGGTAGCAAATGAAAGTCATTTTTATGCTAACCAATGACCATCTATGTATGTGCTACGGTAGGTGGAGACTGTCGGTGATAAGTATATGACAGTTAGTGGTTTACCAGAGCCTTGCATCCACCATGCACGATCCATTTGCCACCTGGCCTTGGACATGATGGAAATTGCTGGCCAGGTTCAAGTAGATGGCGAATCTGTTCAGGTTAGTAAATAAAATAGATGTAATAGTGGCAGTTGACCCTTGTGGGCAACCGATTCATGTTCTTGACCAGGCAGTCATTCATATGCATAAGAAAGGACGTCTTGAGAGTAAAAGCTATAATGTTTTATTTGAAGCTACTGTATTTTATTCTTTTATAGAGCTGGGAAACCTCTCTACCTGTTTGAAATTATCTAGTCTCCCTCTGTGCCAAAAGTCATGAGGACGAGACAAAACTTCCTGTCCCTTCGGGTTTATTTTCTAAAAGCTCTTTTCTGTGTCTCACGTGATTTGCCAGATTCACATCTTTGAAATCTTCAGACTTTAGAAAGAGAATATTTCTCCCGGAAGACAGAACTTTTGTGAGGGTTTTTATTTTGTCTGAAATGTACTTGGAGTTCTTCTAGAGAATTCTTATGATTTTTTTTAATGATGAATCTGCACCATCTGTAATAGAAAGGAAGCAAAAGTTAGTGTGTGTGACTGAATGAAGTTATTGAAGCAAAGCCTTTATGTCTGCAGATAACAATAGGGATACACACTGGAGAGGTAGTTACAGGCGTCATAGGACAGAGGATGCCTCGATACTGTCTTTTTGGAAATACTGTTAACCTCACAAGCAGAACAGAAACCACTGGAGAAAAGGGGAAAATAAATGTGTCCGAATATACATACAGGTAAGAGAAAATGTCTTGGTATTTACTGATTTGCAAGGGAGGGGTTATGTCTGAGTGACCATGCTCCCTTTCAACAGTTGTCATCTCCTCTCTTAGAATTGTTTGTGTATTTTTGTTCACGAAAACTGGGTCCTTGTTTCCCTTTTGAATGGTTCCACACCACCACAGAAAGTGTTACTAAAGTCGTTGCTGCTAAAGGCTTCAGTGTTCTTTAAATACGACGTTAGTATGTTAGTATGTGCCCTGGTTGTCTCAGTTTATAACTTGGACACATGTCACATACACTCTTTGTATACTTTTCTCCCTACTCTCTGTCTTTTAGATGTCTTATGACACCAGAAAATTCAGACCCACAATTCCATTTGGAGCACAGAGGGCCAGTGTCCATGAAGGGCAAAAAAGAACCAATGCAAGTTTGGTTTCTTTCCAGAAAAAGTACAGGAAGAGAGGTATGACTAATCAGAGAGTAATTCTTTTTTTACGACGGCATAAACGTGGGAGTTAAATCAGAATCACCAAAAATATGTTTCATTTGAAAAGAATTCTTGCTTACAGACATTAACCCTTCAGGAAAGCAGTGAAATAACTGAAACATTAATGAGCAGTTAGGACAATAAATACTGCTTAGGGGGTATTTATGGTTGCTGGCTTTTGTCCTCTAGTGAAATTGAAACAAAAGACACTACATCTAGAAGACCTGTTTTTTGTTCTTCCTCTGTAATCTGGCTCAAACATACTAGGTAAGTGGGCTGTGAGGGGCCTATGCTGGCCCCTTTCCTCAGATTCTTAAACTGGCTCTGTGCTCACCATGAGGGCTAAATCCAGACTGCTCTTAACCATGAAGGTCAAAGTCCTTCTAAGGGCCAATCTATCTCCCCATGGAGTGTTTGGGGATCTGGGGAAAATCCTAGTTCCTTGTGTGTTTCTCCTAGAGAAACAAGAGTGATGTATAATTGGCCAGAATCTAAATGATTCCATGGGGAAGCTTTAGGTTCTTGCTAGTACTGTGGCTGTATTCCAGACAGAACTCATGTGCTAGAGTGGACCTCAGATGGTGGCATGTCCAAACTGAACTCATGGGCCCCACAGTGGGACTGTACTCACTGAAGTCCTGCCCAGCCTCCGCCCGCCGACGATGTGTTACGTCAGAAGCTAGTTTGATACTTTGTGCCCCTGCTGAGGTATTGGTTCCTCAGAGGAGATGAGACTGCTTAATTGTATTTCTTTTTATACATGCATACATTCCTTAAAAATGCTTTTAGACTATAACAAGTCCTAAAGGAAACGGGATGGTGAGTTTTAATATTATCTCTATTTTCTTTCAGCAGCTTTTATTTTAAATAATTTACCCATGAGTCGGTATGCTTACTGATGTTCTTCTCATAAATCAAACTGTACTTCAAATATTGGTCATTCTGGTTATTAGGCCCTGTTTCACTTAGAATTATGGTGGGAAGGATTTATAAAACTGTTAATATCAATGCAGATCACACTATCAGAGAGAGAAAAAATGTATTGAGGGAACCACCCTGGGTGGCGCAAATCGTTTGTGCTCAGCTGCTAACGGAAAGGTTGGCGGTTTGAACCACACCCAGTGGCACTGAAGAAATAGCCCTGGTGATCTGCTTCTGTTGAGATTATAGCCAAGAACACCCCATAGAGCAGTTCCACTCTGTAACACGTGGGGTTACTATGAGTCGGAATCAACTCCTTGGCAATGGCTTTGGTGGTTTTGGTTTGACTAACTTCATTGTTGCTGAAAATTAATCCCCTATTTCTTCTACACTTTTAAGGAAACAAAGCAGGATGATGACTGAGTCTTGCATCGTGGGATGAAGAGGACTGCAGATTAGGTTCCAGCTGTCTTCTGACACGTGCCAAGCCTAGCAGCAATTATTCCCTGTGGATACATATTTCACACTGTCCTTTTCCATTATTTTGAGCCTTTCTCTTAGGTATATATCTTACTATTCATTATTCAACTTTAGCCCAGCTTTTGATTATGTTATTTAAGGTTTTAGCATATTTTCTTAGCGTATCTGAAGTTTGGCTTTAGATGTGGATGATGTGAGCTTCGTGTGTCTTAAAGTCTACCACAAGCATTACCTAACATGGTGACTTGCAAGTAGGAGGCACCCAATCAATATTTGTTGCATTTAATTAAATGAAACTGAACAGTATTTGGCCATGTGTATGCATAGCATGGAGCCCTGGTGGCACAGTGGTTAAGTGTTTGGCTGCTAACCAAAAGGTCAGCAGCTGGAATCCACCAGCTGCTCCTTGGAAACCCTGTGGGCGGTTCTACTCTGCCCTATTGGGTCGCTATGAGTTGGAATCGACTCAACAGCTACGGGTTTAGTTTTTTTTTTTTTGGTTTATGGGTAGCATGGTTTACCAAATCTGTTTAGTGCTCGATATATATGTGTATATATATATATATTTTCATGACTATAACATATAACAAAGTTTATATAGTGTTGGTGTATATCGTTATAGATATTATTTTCTAAAGGAGTGAATTATAAGTTTTAGAGAAAATGCAATTTATTTTCAGGCTTCCAGAGTACAAATTAATATACCATGCTAAGAAAATAGTAACCACTGTGAAGTTTGCTACTTTCCCTTCAGAAATATAGAGAACACATTTCAGTTATTAGAGTATTTGGTTGCTAATTCAAATCCTGTGGCAATTACAATTCTTATAAAATGCTGTCGTTTGTATTGAATCCCTCTTATTGATCTCATTAACCACAGGCAGCTGCCATAGAAAGCTGCACTGTTTCACATTGGCTTGGGCTAAATGTTAGGGGCTCTAACCAAATCCAAGAACCAAGCTGGAAAAACACTCCTGAGGTTTTCCTGTTAGAGCTTTTCCTGGCCTTTTATCCCCAGAAGTAAGCTTCTTTTTTCTTAGAAGGTGATTATATCCAGGGCGTCAAGTTCAGAAAAATTACGGTAATTTCAACATAAAATGAATTCCTGTTGGAATCAATGTTTCCAATAATTTATTAATATCTCTCTTTATAAAATATAGTGCAGATACTTTGCTGTAAAAATGTTTGTCTTTAAATTTACTATTTCCTATCAGGACATCAATATGTGTATAAATGTTCCATGTTAATGTGTAAAAGAATCTGCAATAAATTATTTTTTCCACTTGTCTCTAGACAGTTTTTATTTCAAGAAAATGATACTTATATTATTATTTCTCATTTTATTAATGCCATTTTTGTAAAAACATAATTTTACCTATTATAAACTTTAAATTGCTTTTTGATTCACTACTGTTATAAATTTTGAATAGATTGTCTTAAGTAGTTATAGTGTTAAATGCTGTTCTTATTTACTATATTTTTATGAAAATAATGCACACCTTCTACATTTGTTTGCTGACTGCTTCCTTCCCCCATGAGGTACTTTCCTAAGTGCACTATGCTATCTTTTTTTGACAGCAACATGTAAAAAAAAAAAAAAAAAATTGGCATAGCAGCACTTCTGAAAATACCTCGCAGGATGGAAGGAGCAGTTGGCAAACAAACACGGAAGGTGCGTGTTATTTGCGTAAAAATACAGTAGTACCAATACAGTGACATAAACAAGACTAGACATGGGGAGGATACACAGAGGAATATGAAGTAGAGCCAGCTCTTAAAGTGCCCACAAATTTTAGGGGTCACAGACACACACACACATATGTATATATGTAATTAAAATATGTAATATTCATAAAGGTAAAATATATTCAAGTTCCAAATAGAATACTTAGTGAATGAGTAACTTGGGAAGATAGGGGCAGAGTGGGAATGGGGGAGGTTGAGAGACCAGCTGAGTTTTATGACGGTGTAGTTTAAAGATGAATGAATGCGGTGGAAACAAGGATCTGCGTTTTTTCTAGTAGCCTACGCTCGGTGACTCTAGTTTCTCTCCTCCCATTTAATCCTCAGTGCACAGCACTGTATTCTGTGCAATGAGTTTGCATTGCCTAAAGTCATTGATACCTTCCTAATTATGCAGTGAACGCTTCTCAGTCTTCATAATATGTGATTTCTCTGCTGCATTGGCACTCATGATTCTTTGTGGGTTTTCTTCTTTTTAATTATTTTTATTGTTTCTATGAAATTATTTCCCCAAAGTTTTAATGAAAGTGAAAACATAAGGAAAAGTTAAAAGAATTGTAGTTATGTCAGTAGGGGAGGAACAAATTAGAAAAGGGGGGTGAGAATGGCTGGACTGTTTCAAGAACAATCAGTGTCACTGAATTGTACATGTAGTAATTGTTGAATTAGAGTACCATATTTTAATGCAAATAACGCGTGCTTTCTACGTTTGTTTGCCGGCCACTCCTTCCTTCCCCCAGGAGGTATTTTCATAAGAACAGTTATGTCTATTTTTTTTTTAACATGTTGTAAGAAAAATTCACATAGGATGTTACGAAAATGCCTCCTGGAGGAGGGAGCTATTGGCAAACAAACATAGAAGGTACACATTATTTGCATAAGAATACAGTATGTTTTGCTGTGTATACTTTCAACAATAATACAAAAGAAAGAATTGTACAACATACAACCATATACCCACAACCTAGCTTATACCATTCTTAACAATTTTCTACATATCTGACAATTTCCTTTTAATTCTTTTTCTAGTTTTCTGTAGTCTACTGGCTTAAAAAAAAAGAAAGTTTCAATATAATTCACATACTATGAAACTCGACCTTTTAAAATGTACAGTTCAGTGGTGTTCATATATTCAAAACTTTGCGCAGCCATCATCACTAATTCCAGAACATTTTTCATCACTCCAAAAAGAAACCCTGTACCCATTAGCAGTTACTCCCTCTTTCTCCCCTCCTCTCTGCCCCTGGAAACCACTAAGCTACTTTCTGTCTCTATGGATTTGCCTATTCTGAACATTTCATATAAATGGAACAATACAATATGTGACCTGTGAATCTGATTTGTTTTCTTGATAGTGTCCTTTGAAACACAAAAGTTTTAAATTTCTAAAAAGACCAATTTTTCTTTGTTTTTGGTATCGTATTTAAAAAGCCATTATTTAATCCAAGTTCACGTAAATTGACACCTATGTTTTCTTCTCAGAGTCTTATGGTTTTACCTCTTACATTTACGTCATGGATCCCTTGTAGTTAGTTTCTGTATATGGTGTGAGGTAGGGATCATACCATATGTGGATGTGCATCTCCAGTTGCCCCAGCACCACTGAATGGCTTTTGACAACCTTGTCTAAAATCAATTGATCATAAATTGATTTATATCAACTTATCATAAATTGATTTATAAATGTAAGACTTTGTTTCTGTATGCTCAATTCCGTTGTTTTCTATATGTCTAACTTTATGGCAGTACCATAAGCTTGATTACAGTAGCTTTGTAAGTTTTGAAATCCATCAGCAAGTGTGAGTCTGCCAACTTTGTTCTCTGCTGGCTTCATAAATATTGGTCACCCTTAAGTTTCTTTCCTGATCTTCGTTAATGCTCTTTATCATCAAATCTGTGACTACTAATGACCATGACTAACAATTACAGAACATTTACTCTGAGGGAGGCTCTATTCTATGCACTGTGTATGGTTTAATCTCACCAATGACATCCCAACAACCTAAGAGATAAGTATGTTTTACTTTTTTTTTTTTTTAATGGTAGTGAAACCTACACAGTAAAGCCTTCACCAGTTCAACAATTGCGACCTGTACAATTCAGTGACACTGATTATATTCTTCTCGCTGTGCAACCATTCTTGCTTTCCTTTTCCAAATCATTCCAGCAACATTAAGATAAACTCGATGCCCCCTAAGGAAAACTTGCCCTTGTCTCCTCCTTCCCACCCCTAGTAACCACTAGTATTTGGTTTCTGTATATTCTCTTATTTCATGTAAGTGAAATCATACAGTATTTAGCCTTTTGTGGCTAACTTTTTTACTCAGCATGGTGTTTTCTAGGTTCGTGTGACATGCAACAGGACTTCATTTCTGTTTATTGCTAAGTAGTAGTCTTTGCTCTGTATGTTTTTTTTTTTTTTGTCCTTTTGAAAAAATTAATTGTAAAAATATAGATAACACAACACCTGCCAATTCAACATTATTCATGTATACAATTCAGTGAGATCATTTACTTTTTACTTATGCTGTTATATTTTATTTGCTAATATTTACGATTTTTGCATAAGGGAGAATAGTCTTAGTTTTCTTTTTTGATGCTGTCTTGGTCAGGATTGAGGATCAATGATATATTTGTTCATAAAACAAATGTGTACATCTGCTTATTATCACCTTAGAAAGTTACATGATTTGAGTTGTGCTTGGAGGAAACCATGCTGTCGTTGGTGAAGA